ATGGACATTCATTTGCGCAATACTCAGATTAATTTGCTTGGTAATTTTTGTATCATTGCAATGTTGGTTATCCTTCTCGCTTGTGACAGGTGTTGCCTGAATAAGTTGTTGAGTAATTCTAAAAGGATTACTATATTGTGAGGCATTGTGTTTATTATTTGTTTCGGATGTAAGTGCTTGCACAGGCTCCACACTCAATGAACTGTCATTTAGAAATTGGTTTGCATCCGGATGTTTTTTTGAAAAGTTGGATGAAGTTGAATATTCTTTTGAATGAAAATGCGTTGAGCTTGTACATCCACGATGCAGTTCTTTAAATTCAAGTTTGCAATCATTCTGAAGTTCCTCAAAGTTAAGATTACATTTACTTTGCGACTCCTTAAATTTCTCAACGCCATGATCACATTCACGTAGAAATTCTTTAAATTTAGTACGATATTCGGGGCTATATTCATTCTGAATTTCCTCGAATTTAAGAGCGCATTTACGTTTAAATTCCTCAAGTTCTTCTAAACCACGAGCATATTCATGTCGAAGGTTTTTAAATTTACGATTATACTTGCGATCAAAATCTCTAAACCACATTGTATGCTGGTCATCTACTTTTCGAAATGGTGTTTTTGTCATAGTTGATAAATAATGGAGAAACAAAGATATCCTTAGCAATTTATCAAGGCAGTTAATAGGAGAATGGAGGAACGATAATGTTTTTAGCAATTTATCAAGTAATCAAAATGCGCGTTATAGAGGATGTACAGTACATTTAAAAGGGTACAAATAGTGTGTACATTATATATCATCTATGAGAATACCCATCTATGGAAATACTAATTTTGATAATTCTAGTAATGGGTATTTTCATGTAGATTTAATATTGCATATTCATTTATAAACTATTGAATGACGAAAATTTTGAAGTTATCGTGTATACTCGTAAATTATTGTTATGATTTGTAAACTATTTTTGATGATCTTCGTTGTGTAAACGCCATACGTACTGAAATATGCCTTATCAAGAAAATTTCCAAAAATGTCTTTCACAAAAAAGGAAATAAACATTAAATGATGAAATCTACACGATTAAAAGTTGGTTATTGTTCCTCACAATTATACCAGTTTTTTTTTTTTTTACATGATACATTAAATTTATATACATGCTTTAAGCTTGATTGCGTTATATTTATTATTTAACTAAGTTGCTAATTATCTTTGATATTAAACTTATATCGACTTTAAAAAATGAATAAATTTGTTATATTAAAATTTTATAATAAAATGATTGTGCTACTTATTTGTTTTACGCACTTTTAAAAATTTTTATATATTATTATATCATTAAGTTCAAAAGCACCACGATGAAGCAATGTATTTTATATATTTTTTGTCTGTTGAAACGGATACTTATCTCCGAGTTTTTATTTTTTTGTGTAAAATGAAAACATAATTATCCGTTCATGTTACACTATGTTAATATCGACAGCTTTTTTGTAATAAAATAAATTATCAAAAATGTGTATTATAACCTTTACGAGTTTAGGTTCCCTTACATTATTTAAATTCCTAAAAATGTACATCGATTTTAATTTCATAAGTACAAATTGCCAAAATGCTTTATCATAAAAATGATCTACATTGCACTATAACAAAGCATTTACGTAACTTAAATTTTACGCCAAAAAATATTAACTGTTAAAATTTGATAATATACTCCATTTGATAACAAAAAGAATATAATGAATACATAGAAAGCTAACGATTACACTTAAATTTATTCTAAAATATGAAGTTTTATCAGATATGAGTCGTATCATCAATAGTTCAATATTGAAGCATACACGTATGCATTGTCACAGGTTGAAAGTAACATTTCCAAAAATAACACAAAATTGCGCCGTGGGATCCCGTGATTAAAAAGTATAGATGGCAGAAAAAATTCTTGATCAGGTGATTGTGACCCAATCAACGATCAATGATCATAACATTATTTGCACAAATTTCGTATGTTGATACTATATTAGATTTGACTGCATTATCTCGAATTTTTTCTGCCACGACTATTCTACCTTTCGAATAGAAATAATCAGCTGTGGAATATTTAGAGGAGCAGACATTTTTGTGGCGGTGCTACTTCAATTATGTTACGGCTGCAATACGACCCACCTAGTAATCGCGAGTGAAATGGTGATGGCGCAAAAATTTGATGATACTGTGACGAATCGGAATCGCAAGCGTTCGAAAAATCATATTTCGAACTATTGAGATCACAAAAATTCAATACTACAGGTGCAAAATTTACTAAAATAAGTTTTTTAGCTCGGAGATCACGGTACCACCAAATTTTGCGCCATCACTATTTCATCAAAAACTAAAATCAGGTGTACTGTACGTCGTACGTACTGTACGTACTTACGCTTATCTAAACTTTCCTTTTATATGTTTGTGTCACCGGCACGATAAGTAACCCTGCGTGATCGTCGACACAATAGACGTTATTAGTAGGTATTTACGTACAACACTCATGCGATTTTTTTTTTCAGTTGTAAAATATGCCAACATTATTGTTTTTAGTACAACTTTTCTATATCATTATAATCATATGTTCTATAACAAGTTTAATTTTTAGATCCTTAAAAATTTCATTGCTTTCCTATGGAAAATTTAGAACTTCAGTCCAGTTTGCTACAAAAAATCCAATTGAAGCATATATACAAAGTTTAACCGTTCCAAAACGATGGTTCAAGCATTATTATATCATTGGAACACTTTGGACTACATTTCTATTTACTGATATTATTGTTTTACAGAATAAAAACAAAGGATATTTTGCATGGTTTGTTCAAATTTTTGATAACATCGAAAAATATGAGCCAGCATATTTTAAAGAGCCATATACAGAATGTGTAATTGGATTAGTAATGCTTCAAGTTCAGACTATTAGGAGAATGTATGAATGTTTTTTTGTTGAACGGCCTTCAGCTGGTGCTACAATGCATGTAGGACTTTATTTTCTGGGTTTGGCCTTTTATCTTGTAACTGGATTGGCTATATTGATTGAGGGCATTGGAAATATCGGAATTTTGAATAATAAAGGTATGTTTTATTAAAACTTATTCATAAAACTATTTTTCCCATTATTTATTATTTTGTTATCTTTAGATAAAGAATTTACAATTCCTTATACAACCTTTTTATCCTGGAACATATCGTTGGCTATATTAATCTTTATCTATGCATCATATCATCAATATATACTTCACAAAAATCTTGCTTTGCTTCGTTCCAAAGATTCCTCTAAATCATCATTATACTTTATCCCAAAAGGAGATTGGTTTGATTACATTGCATCAGCTCATTATACGGCTGAAATTATAATTTATTTTAGTTTTGTCATTCTTACTAAAGGATTTATTTTAACTATCTGGTTAGTTTTTATTTGGACAGTTGTTTGTTTGGGAGTTGTTGCAAAAAATTCTGATGAATGGGGAAAAGAAAAGTTTGGTGAAAATTGGCCTAAAAATAGATGGATTATTATGCCTTATATTTATTAGTATTAGGCGGTGTATATAATAAATATTAATAGAAATTATATTTTAAATATTTGCTGTTCTAATAATAATAATAATTTATTACTTTGGTGCTGTTATAATTAATAAATGTCACTGATGATGCTGAAATCGAATAATGCTAAAATTGAATAATGCTGAAATCAGATGATGCTAAATTTTTTTTTTAATTTGTTTTACTAATTAGTATAAAATAATAAAAATATTTTTTTAACTACAATTAAAGATTTTTCTGATATAGAATATTAACATATTAATTATTATTAGATATGCTAACATTGGTTGATATTGGTTGATATTGGTTGATATTGGTTAATATGTGTCAAATTTTCTCAAAACTATAACCTATAAGCTAATATATCAACTTAACGTCTATATAAAACTACAACTAATTAGCTAATATATAAACTTAATATTGTATCAACATAATATCATTCTATTTATATTATACTAATGGATTAGCAAGTTTTTTAACTTTAACCTGTGAGGTAACAATTGAAATATGAATTTGTAATAATAATTAAATGATACGTAAAATAGTTTTGGTATGTATAATAAAAAAATTTACATTGAATAGCATTAGTTTTTTTTTTGGTAACTAAACCTTATGGTTTATTTTGTGAATCATATATGGACCTAATTTAGACCTAATTCCGCAAATTCGCCAATATGTGCTGCAAATTTCATAAACCATCCAGTCACAAGAGAAACAACCGATTCATTATCAGAATTGCCAGATACAAATCTCAAACATAAATCGGTATCAGTAGTAAAAGAAAACTCATCCTTGCCGTTTGGAATATCAAAAATTTCTACATTGGCGTAGGGAAAACGATTTCCTACACGATCATATGGAAAAAAAGCCAACATCCACCCTGAAATATAAGTACCTCCTTCAGAACCGAATACTTCATTTATATTTATAATGCTGCCCCAAAAATCTTCGTCAACTTCGCCACGATAAGCTGCTACTAATTTCCAAACCACAGGTTCAAGACGATCTAGCCAAAAATCA